AGCGATGCTCTGGACCGCTTTTGGGATGCAGCAGAATGTGTCCCTTACGGTTCAGTGACTCCCCCGCCCACCCTAACTGCATCCCAAACGCAAGCGCTGTCGGGGCAGAAGCGCGTGGCCTTCGGGAGCTTTGAGGACCTCTCTTTGTGAAACACAGGCACATTTTTTTTTGCAGTATTTATAGGCTTGTTTCAGATGTGGTGGAATCTATTAATCAGCATCTATTAATTAGGCTGTGGGGCATCTCCTGAGGGGAGCATTAGGGCTTCACATTAGCCTGGACAAAGCACTGGGAATTACTCTGCGGGGAACGATGGTGTGGTGGCCGGGAAATGGGGCTGGTGGGTGTAATGGGTCTCACTCCTCTCCAGCGCGCCTGAAGCAGCCTCGTCTCGGGGGGGAGATGGATGAAAGGCACGAGGATCCAGGGCAGCAGGAGGGTGGATGCCCTCGACCACCACAGCAGCGATTCTGTAGCTGTCTTCTGCTGGGGTGTGCTGGTATAGCTGTGTCGGGGCACTAAACCAGTGGTAGAAATGTGATGGTTTCAACCTGAAACGCTCCAGCGTGCCAGGAAGCCTCATTTTATGGGGACTTTATAACATGATGACAGACGCAGACTGTATCTAGTGCACTGGAGCAGAACGAGGTCTTCCTCCAAAGGGCCCGAGGTTGTCTCCTCCTCTGGTTTGTGCCGGCATCTCCCCAGAATAATCCCTCCAACCTGGAGCCCATGGGCTCAGGGTGGCAGCGGTGGTGATGGGGCTGGAGAGACACTGCCCAGGAAGAGGGATGAAAAGAATCTCATTTGGGGAGGAATTACCTTAAACAAGTGGCTCCAACCAGCTGCTCCTCTGTTCTTTCCCTTGTTTTTTACGGCGTTTCCTTGAATTTCTGCCTCGCGGGGGCTCTGTTTGCATCGGGCGATGCTTTACCTGAGGGGTCACGGGAGACTGTGACAGTGATGCTCAGCTCTATGGCCACGCTTCGTTAAGTCCTTGGAAATCACCGGCTCGCCTCATCTCTTGGGGCATGGACCGGACCTGAGTTGTGGCCAGGGAGCCACTGGCCAGCCCAGCTCCTCCCTGGGCAAGCAGGCCTCTAATCTGCACAGCAGATGGTTAAAAACCCAAATCCGTTGGCCTTGGTGTGTCCTCAGGTGCTACCAAACAGCCTGGCAAAGGCAGGAGGGGCAGGGTCCCATGTTAACGCCTGGGCCTGAAGCCCCTCTTGGTGCCCCTCTTAAAGTCCAACAAGGAGAAGTGGTGGGTCCAGTTGCGGGCTCCCACCTAGGAGAGAGACATGGACACACTGGAGAGAGTCCATGAAGGAGACGGTGTGGAGCACCTCATCAGGAGGAAAGGCTGAAGGAGGTGGGACGATGCAGCCAGGGAGATCTTGGGGAGAGTTTGGCTCCATCCTCTTCCCTCAG